TCCTCATCTGAAGGTCTGCTTCTCAGTCTGGCCCATGGTCATGGTGGCTTGTCTCTGGCAGCTGGCCTTTACTACTGAGAAGAATAGAGTCATTTCTGTTACTGGACAACTGCTAGGTCACACTCTGCGGAGCAGCTTATGCAGGCCTCTGCCACAAGCCTGAGCTGCACACTCCTAGCAGGGGATGCTATACCAGACCAGAGGTCCTAGTGAGGGCTTGTTACACAGGCTTCTGTGGTTTTTACTTCACTCTTAACGCACCAACACTTCTGTGGAATTCATTCCTTAAGGGCGCCTATGACAAAGTCTTATCTCTGGTATAAGTTAAATACAGTTTTAAAAACCTGAAAATAGCCGAGACCGGTTTGGCTCAATGGATAGAGCGTCGGCTTGGGGACTGAAAGGTCCCGGGTTCGATTCCGGTCAAGGGCATGTACATGGGTTGCGGGCACATCCCCGGTAGGGGGTGTGCAGGAGGCAGCTGATCAATGATTCTCTCCCATCGATGTTTCTAACTCTGTATTCCTCTCTCTTCCTCTCTGTAAAATATCAATAAAATATATTAAAAAAAAAAAAAAAAAAACCCTGAAAATAACAAAAAGTGTCAGGAAGTAGCCTGGATCTAGAGGTGACATGTCCCACCCATTAGCTGCTGAGGCAGTTTGTGGCTTCGGTGTTAGGAAAACAGAATTTCTCTCTTAAGCTGACTGTGCTCTACCAAAAGCCCTGGGCTGGAGGAGACCAGGTCAGGCTCTGTAAGGCCCAGGATGCAGACTTGCACTTTCTAAATGGGAAACAAACTTTACATATGCGTTAAAAGATACATGCCAAATACTTAAGTATAGATGGAACGCTTTGGTTTCTACTTCTGTGAATGGATGTGCCTACTAACTGGACAAGGTAAGGTTTGCTGGTGTTGGGACTGGCAGACCAGGCCCCTGAAAGCAGCAATGTTCTCCGCTCACTCAAGGTTTGCTCATTCAGGCTAACCTTATTGTCTGCCAGATGTTGGCTCCTTTCCTCATCATTGAAGTGAATAGTGTGTCCCAGCCTATTTCTGAAATCAGTTCTCAACTGTGTGGTTTAGGGAAGGGAGGGAATCTAGAACCTCATCCCAGCGAGTGAACTTCCTGCAGAAGTAATTGAGTTGTGCTGCAGGGGTTGAGGTTGGGGGTGCCCTATCATTGGGCCCTGGTCACAGCTTCCCATCAGGTTTGCAGGCTTGGGGATAACTGAGCTGGGTGGAGCCCCACCCAAACCTGGCCCTAGAGGCCTTGGACCAGCAGTCCAGTTTCTGTTCTCCGCCTGAGCTGCTGGCACAGTATCTCATGTAACAAAAATATAAAATTAGGGAATTTTATGATTTCCGTAAGTTTAATAAGTTAGGGCTCTAGCTGGTTTGGCTCAGTGGATAGAGGGTCGGCCTGCGGTCAAGGACACATGCCCAGTTGCAGGCTCAATTTCCAGTAGGTGTCGTGCAAGAGGCAACCGATCAATGACTCATTGATGTTTCTGTCTCTCTCCCTTCCTCTCTGAAATCGGTGGGGGGGAAAATAAAAAATATATAGATATATTTTTAAGTTAAGTATTCTCCTGATGTTAGGCAACTCCTGGGGTTCCTTCATCTTTTGGTCATTCTCCCTGCATTGGAGACACTCTGAATTGGTGTCACACCACTGGGTTTTTTTCACTTTTTTGATAATGGGGATTTAGAACTCGTTGAGGCAGCAAAGAAGTTTTAAATTTTCTGTGGTCTAATTTGTTTTTTTAGTATATTTTTATTGATTTTAGAGAGGAAGGGAGAGATAGGAACATGTGCTCTGACTGAGAATCAGACTATGACTTCCTGGTTCATGGGTGAACATTCAACCACTGAGCCACACCACCATGTTGTCGCTTATTCTTTTAGTGTTATATTACTACTCTTCTTTAAGGGAGTGTTGTTTAGGCCTTGGGTTTAAGATTTAGTAACAGATAGTGGTGATGCAGTTAACAGGGCTATAGAATGCAGAGGGGAAGGGTGTGTGTTTTAGGGTTGGGAAATAGTTGGGCAATAGAAGGTAGTAAATTCCATTTTTTAGATACTGAACTGAGTTTAAGGTATAGCGAAGACAAAGAAATATTAAATGGCCAGTTTGAAATATATGTCTGGAGGAAAGGAAGGAAATCTGGACAAGAAAATGAAGGCAATTGAGAGGCATCCTCTTAGAATGATGGGTGAAGCTACAGAAATAGATGACATTTACCCCCAAGGGGGTAGCATCTAAGAGAAAAGGGGGCATACACAAACAGCCTCATGAAGATTATTTACCTGTTTTGGGGGAGTGTGTGGAGGGATATTTGGAGGAAAAAACAGTAGCACTATGTCATAGGACAAGGGAAATATAGCAAGGAGGAGGATGTGACTGGCAGCATCACACAGGAAGTGGAAAAAGGAGGATAGGGAAGAGACACTTGGTACAAAGAAGTCACTGATGGTCTTTAGCAAGGCTGTGGGATAGCAAATTTGGACTGAGGGTGTCAGTAGCTGGGAAGACAGCAACGATGTGTAGTACTGAAAAAAAGGAAGAAAGGTAGTTTAACAGAAATGCAGAGTGACACAAGGTTTTCATTTTTGTTTTGCTTTTGAAGATTAGGGGGTAAGTATTTTGTGGGCTAAGGGGAAGGAGAGAGAAAAGATTCAATGGGAGGAATTCATTGATAAGCCTAATTTTTATAGATGGGATGGACTGTGAGTGATGAGTAGAAGAATTAACCTTTTCAGCTTAATTTCACCAACAGCCTCCCCCATTTCTTGAGGCAAATTTCCTACTATTCTTTTTTAACTTTTTTTTTTTTTTTTTTTTTACTGATTTCAGAGAGGAAGGGAAAGGGAGGTAGAGATAGAAACATCAATGATGATAATCATTGGTCTGCTGTCTCCTGCACGCCCTCTACTGGGGATCAAGCCACAACCTGGGCATGTGCCCTGAGACCTTCAGTCCACAGGCTGACACTCTATCCACTGAGCTAAACCTGCGAGACCCTAATATTCTGTAGTATAGTGTTTGTGTCACCACTTTGGGAAAGAATGATCTAGTTTAAGAGCATGTCAATGTTAGGGGCCTTACCATTAAGGGATAGCCTCTGGAACATAATCATTATGGTAATGGTAGGTTGGTGGACAAAGTAAGGAAAGGAAGAGGGTCCCTTTGCTTGGCTCTAGAGGGCAAGGTAGTAAGAATGGATATAAATGCAGGTAATGAAGGTGAAGAGAGAAGTTGAAGTTCACAGTGAGTAGCCTCCATCCCATTAGTTGAGTAGGAAATAGTGGACTGCTAATAGCAAGTAGGGTAGAGGTTCCTACCATCAGTCTTTTTTGCCCTCATTCTTTAACTTGTATTTTCATTATAGTTATATAATACTAGTGATCCAGTGCACAGATCATGTACCTTGAAAGGAAATTAATTAGAAGATGGCCAGTGGGGCAGGACTGGGTGAGATGAGCTGGACATACCCTGGAGCCAACCTCCTGCACTCCCTCCCCTGCCAGCCGGCTCTACCCAGGGTGTTCCGTGGCTCACAGGGCATCTGTGGAGTGAGTAGGTCCCTCCAGCAGATGAAGTCCTTTGACCTGCCCTAAAGGGTTTGGGCCAAAATCGGCTCTTCGACATCCCCTGAGGGGTCCCCAAGTGCGAGAGGACACTCTGCAAAGTTGATGTGCAGCAAACCAGATTCAGGGCCAGTACCCCAGCAACAACATAACCGACTACTAAAGGTGGACTCGCAAGGCCCTGCGAGGAATCAGGCTCTCTCCTCTCTGGTTTTGAGGTGTGTCACCTGAGAACCACTGCTGCCAAGTCACTGCAGCTCAGCAGCTCCTATGTTGAGCATCTGCCCCATGGTAGTCAGTGTGCATCATAGCAACCGGTCAGAGGGACAGAGGGACACTTAGCATATTAGCTTTTATGTATATAGACTAGAGGCCCGATGCATGAAATTCATGCACGGATGTCAGTGTCCCTCAGCCCAGCCTGCACCCTCTCCAATCTGGGACCCTCTCACAATCCAGGACTGCTGGCTCCCAACTGCTCGTCTGCCTGCCTTCCTAATTGCCCCAAATAGCTTCTGCCTGCCAGCCTGATCACCCACTAACCACTCCCATGTCAGCCTGATTGATGTCTAAGTGATCCCCTGCCAGCCTGTTTGCCTCCAACTTCGCTTCGGCCTGGTCACCCGTAACTGCCCTCCCCTACAGGGTTGATCACCTCCAACTGCCCTCCCTTGCAGGCCTGATGTCTCCCAACTGCCCTCCACTGCTGGCCATCTGTGGTGGCCACCTTGTGTCCACATGGGGGCAGGATCTTTGACCACATGGGGCAGTCATCTTGTGTGTTGGAGTGATGGTCAATCTGCATATTACTCTTATATTAGATAGGTTAGAGGCCTGGTGCATTGGTGGGGACCAGCTGGTTTGCCCTGAAGGGTGTCCCAGATCAGGGAGGGGGTTCCTTTGAGGCGAGGGGCGGCCTGGGTGAGGGGACTATGGTAGTTTGCAGGCTGGCCACACCCCCTGGCAACCCAAGTGGACGTCCTGGTATCTGGGATATATTTACCTTCTACAATTGAAACTTTGTAGCCTGGAGTGGAGTCAAGGCTCCTTCCTGCTAGCTCAGTGGCTGCTGCCATTTCTGTTTGGATTTATTTACCTTCTTTAATTGAAACTTTGTACCCTTGAGTGGAGGCCTGCATCGGCAAGGGCAGGCAGAAAGCCTGGCTTCTTCCATTGCCACAGAAACCCAAGCCTCCCTCCTGCTCTCTGGCTGTAGCCATCTTGGTTGGGGTTAATTTGCATATTCACTCTGATTGGTTGTTGGGTGTGGCTGGTGAATATAGCAGAGGTATGGTCAGTTTGCATATTACTCTTTTATTAGATAAGATAGTACATAGATTTCTTGTCATTGTAAATAGTGGAGCAGCACACCTCTGTTGATTTTTAACACCATATTTTGTGTTCCCAGTTGATGCTTTCTGAGTGGTTAATTGACGTCCCTTCAGATTTGGGGCAGGAATGGATTGTGGTTGTGTGCCCTGTTGGAAAAAGAGCGCTTATCGTGGCCTCCAGGGTAAGTAGCTGCCTCCTCTTAAATCACCAAGCCTTGTCTGTAGTAAGAGGGATTCTTTGCACTTCATGTTCCTTGTTCACCACAGCAGCTGTGCCTAGATAGCATGGGGTTTGAAACACTTGCCTGTAGGAAGATTTTTTGAGAGCTATCTTTGGCCTCTGCAGAATGTGGGAGCAAGAGTGTGAGGAAAACTGATGTCTAATGGTACCTTTCTTTCCAAATAGGGTTCTACCAGTGCCTACACCAAGAGTGGTTACTGTGTCAACAAGTTTTCTTCACTTCTACCAGGAGGCAACAAGCGAAACTCAACAACAGCAAAAGGTACCTACATGAAATTGTCTTTTTTTTTTTTAGTTTATGATTATTAAGTTTTTTAGTTTTTTATTATTTTTTAATATATTTTATTGACTTTTCACAGAGAGGAAGAGAGAGGGATAGAGAGCTAGAAACATCGACGAGAGAGAATCATCAATCAGCTGCCTCCTGCTCACTCCCTACTGGAGATGTGCCTGCAACCCAGGTACATGCCCTTGACCGGAATCAGTCCGCAGGCCAACGCTCCATCCACTGAACCAAACCGGTTTCGGTGTTTATTAAGTTTTTTAATCACTAAAAGATAGTGTAAGTTTCTTGGTCATTTCTTTTAAAGATCCACTTTGAAAGCATGCCTTTGAAACTGTATAGCCACCATCCTGCCCAGTGAATTCAGGCCATTTCCTTCAATGTCAGCCCTTTAGCAGCAGAGTAGATGCAGCCCAATGAGGCCTGCTTGGTAAAAAAAAAATCCCTCAATCAAAATTAACATGCCTTGCTCATGAACTGCCATTACAAGGTGAGAGCTACATTTTATTGGGGAAAGTCCTTTAGAATGCTGAGTGTTATGTACAGTAAGATGTTGCTGGGGCTTCCCTGCTGAATTCCCATTTTTCCTTTATCGTTATACTAACCTTAGCTTCTCTCTCCCACCTGAGCCTAGCTGAGGAGACTAAGATCATGGAGGTGAAATAACTTGCTCATGGTCATTCAGTGACAAAGTGGCGGAGCTGGCCTAAACTCTGCTCTCTTCCCTGCCTGCTAGGGTTCCCTTGCTGGTTCCTCATGTCCTCAGTACTGAGCCCAACTTCTCCACTGACTTTTAGAGCTCCTCATTCATGGGCTTTGATCTACCCTACTTTTTACCTTTCCCCTACTCTCCGTATCTACCCTTAGCTCTGTTCCATTGGTTTGCCTTCTTGCTCCCCTCAGTGTACTCAGTGTATTTTACCTCTGTGCCTTTTCTCAGGCCAATTCAGTATTCTGGCCGGGAATGCCCTCCCAACCCTCTGCCCTGTTGTTTTAATTCTCTTAATCCAGAAGAGTGTGTTCATATCACATGTCTTCTATAAAGCACTTCCTACTGCTCCAATCCCTTTTTTTTTTTCTTCTGGAATTTCTATTGTTCTTAGTTTGGGCTATAGTTTAGCTCTTGGTTCTTTTCTCTGTGATCATCTTATTTCCTTAATTGGATTGTGATTTTTTTATTGACTTTTCACAGAGAGGAAGGGAGAAGATACAGAGTTAGAAACATCAATAAAACAGAAACATCGGTCAGCTGCCTCCTGCACACCCCCTACTGGGTATGTGCTCGCAACCAAGATACATGCCCTTGACCAGAATCGAACCTGGGACCCTTTGGTCCGCAGGCCAACATTCTATCCACCGAGCCAAAACCAACTAGAGCTAGATTGTGATTTTTGTTGTTAATCCTCACCCAAGAATGTTTTCTCCTCTTTTTTTTTTTTTTTTTTTAAAGAGAGAATAGAAGGTTGGGGAGAGAGTAAAACATCCATGCCAGAGAGGCACATTGATCAGTTGCCTCCCACACCCAGACCGGGATCAAACCTGCAACTCTTGCCCTAACCAGTTTGGCTCAGTGGACTCAAGAGTCCCAGGTTTGATTCTGGTCAAGGGCATGTACCTTAGTTGCGAGCACATATCTAGTGGGAAGTGTGCAGGAGGAGACAGCTGATCGATGTTTCTCTCTCATCGATGTTTCTAACTTTCTATCCTTCTCCCTTACTCTTATAAAATATCAATAAAATATATATATTTTTTAAAAACCTCTGTAACTCTTTGGTCATAGGCCCGTGCTCTCATCACTGAGCCATGTTGGCGAGGACAGATTGTAACTTTCTTAAAAGCAGGGACTACGTGCAGATAATGTTCCCCACAGAACACTATTCCCATGATAGTAACTCAAAAGTAATTACAAACAGCCGAAACCGGTTTAGCTGAGTGGATAGAGCGTCGGTCTGCAGACTGAAAGGTCCTGGGTTCTATTCCGGTCAGGGGCATGTACCTTGGTTGTGGGCACATCTTCAATGGGGGGTGTGCAAGAGGCAGCTGATCGATGTCTCTCTCTCATCGATGTTTCTAGCTCTCTATCCCTCTCTCTTCCTCTCTGTAAAAAGTCAATAAAACATATTAAAAAAAAAAAAAAGTAATTACAAACTAAAATGCTTTCAAACTTGAGCTTCTGTAAGTAAATGTTCTAATTTATATAAAAGCTCAGAATTTCCACTTGGCTTAGGGGTTGCCTTGATCCCTCCTATGTTGTCCTACCTCAGGTCACCATTCTTCAGGTGGATTGTGAAGAATGTCTTCCCTACTAAATTCTCATACCTTAGTGCTGGTGCTTGCTGCAAGTACCAAAGATTATGGAATTCTGTTTCCAAGCCCTAAGATGGGCTTCCTATATTGTGGTGGAGGGAACCCTGATTGGAAGGGGACCCTGTACTGACTTTCTGCATTGTGTCCCAGACTATACCATTCTGGACTGCATTTACAGTGAGGCAAAGCAGACCTACTACATTCTGGATGTGATGTGCTGGCGGGGCCACCCTTTTTATGACTGCCAGGTAAGGAACAATAATCTCCTCATGTGTTCTGTTTTCTCCATTTCTTACATCTTTGAGTTTGTTTAAATTAGCTTTTCTTTTTAAATATGGAATGCTTCATGTATTTGCAGGTCATCCTTGCACAGGGGCCATGCTAATCACTGTATTGTTCCAATTTTAGTATATGTGCTGCTGAAGCAAGCACAGTATAGTAAATTCTTGAGGGCAGGAAAGAAAGAAACAGAGCAGTAGAGGTGGCTGGGACTTTGTATGGGTTGCAGCTGCCCCCTGCCCTCTCCAGAGTCTTGGGAGGATTGTTGTCAGGGAAGATTGTAGGTGAAGGGAATACCTTTGATCAAGATAGAGAAGGTGAAATGTAAGACATCATCTAGTAGACTTGCAGAAAGTCAGGACAGGGGGAAAAGAACAATTGTGAATAAAAAATGGGAATAAGTATGTACTATCAACAATTATTTTAAATGTAAATGGTTAAGTGCCCCAATTCTACCTAATAAAAGAATAATATGCAAATTAACCATCACTCGGCTCCACAAGCCACACCCATAAGCCAATCAGAGCAAGTATGCAAATAAACGCAACCAAGATGGCTACAGCCACAGAGAGCAGGAGGGAGGCCTTACCCCGGCAACAGAGGAAGCCAAGCTTTCCACTTGCCCTTGCTGCCTAGGCCTCCACACAAGGCTACAAAGTTTCAATTATAGAAGGTAAACAAATCGGAACAGAAACAGGTGTTGCCGCCACTGAGCAAGCAGGAGGCTTGACTCCACTCCAAGCTACAAAGTTTCAATTGTAGAAGGTAAATATATCCGATACCAGAGCCTCCCCTTGGGTTGCTGGGGGGCATGGCTGGCCTACAAACCACCACAACCCCCTCGCTCAGAGGCCCTTTTCCTCCTGCCGGCCTTGGGCTGAGAGGGAGGAGAACCCCTGCAAGTTACTGGATCTTTAAGGGAGTCTATCCCCTCCAAGTCCTGCAGATGCCTCATGACCAGAGGGGACCAGGGTGTGTGCCCACGCAAGTGCAAGAAGCACTGATCATTGCATCTTGGATGCCAGTTGCTCTTGTGCAGTGTCAGCCTACCTCTAAGCATCCATCTTGCAGAGGTGGCATTTGCTCTGCTCCTTTGTGGCCGCAGCACATGTGACCTTGCTGCTAGTTATCAGGGCTGGGAGCACAGTAGCTGCTGGTGGTGCATGATCCACTGGAGAGCTGCTGCCAAGAACTTTCCAAAGTACCCAGCCCAGATTCCATACTCCTTCTGGCGGTGTCCTCTGGTACGGGTAGGACTGGGAGAGTTTTTATTGATTTTTCACAGAGAGGGATAGAGAGCTAGAAACGTCGATTAGAGAGAAACACCAACCAGCCACCTCCTACACACCCCCTACTGGGGACGTGCCCACAACAAATGTACATGCCCTTGACTGGAATCGAACACAGGACCCTTCAGTCCACAGCCCAACGCTCTATCCACTGAGCCAAACCGGTTTCAGCAGGAGAGCATTTCATATTTGCAAATCTGTGACTCGTGGCTGCCTTGTGTTTTTCCTATTGAATTTGTTGGACTTGGAGCATTGATCCCCTCCTTGTGGCATAATTGGACACCAGGAAGACTCAACTCATAACATATCTATATTTTTATTAATTTTTCGTAACATTTGTTGCTCCTATTTCTAGGCAATGAATGTGTTATAAACGTTCTATTTTCCATTGATAGAATTTGTTGATTGTAATGTATTCTATTTCAGTATGATTCATTACCTGGTGTTATATTATGCCTTTGTCGTTTTTATCAGTGGAAAACTGATGCTGCAAAATAATAGATGTATTTTAAAAAATTTTAAATAATGACAGAAAACTTTCCCCACCTGGTGAAAGAAATAGACTTTCAAGTCCAGGAAGCGCAGAGAATCCCAAACAAGAGGAATCCAAGAGAATCACAGCAAGACACATCGTAATTAAAATGCCAAGGGCAGCCGAGACCGGTTTGGCTCAGTGGATAGAGCATCTGCCTGCGGACTGAAAGGTCCTGGGTTCGATTCCGGTCAAGGGCATGTATCTTGGTTGCGGGCACATCTCCAGTAGGAGGTGTGCAAGAGGCAGCTGATCGATGATTCTCTCTCATCGATGTTTCTAACTATCCCTCTCTCTTCCTCTCTGTAAAAAATTAATAAAATATATTTTTTAAAAAGAAATAAAAATAAATAAAATGCCAAGGGCAAAAGACAAAGAGAATCTTAAAAGCAGCAAGAGAAAACAGTTAGGGAGTACCCATACGAATGTCAGCTGATTTCTCAACAGAAACTATGCAGGCCAGAAGGGAGTGGCAAGAAATATTCAAAGTGAGGAATAGCAAGAACCAACAACCAAGATTACCCAGCAAAGCTATCGTTTAGAATTGAAAGTCAGATAAAGAGCTTCTCAGGTGGAAGGGGGTGTGGGGGATGTGGGAAGAGATTGGACAAAGAGCTTACACCTATAGATGAGGACAGGGCGGGGGAGGAAGTGAGGGCCTAAGTTGGGGGGGACCAGATAGAGGGGAGCTATGGCGGGGGCGGGGGGGAAATATCTATAATCTGAACAGAAATGATTTTTTTAAGTGAAGTAAAACTGTCATTTTTAATAGACACACAGAACCACTATACACATAGAACCATAACAATTCCACCAAAAATCAATAGAAGAAATTGAAGAAGGTACAAATGAAGCATATATTGTGCTCATGGACAGGAAGAATTAACATCACTAAAATGTCTATACTGTGCAAAGCAATCGAGATTCTTTGCAGTCCTTATCAAAATAACAATGACATTTTTTACAAAAGTAGAAGAAATAATTCTAAATTTGTATGGAACCCAAAAAGGCACTAAAAGCCAAAGCTGTCTTGAGAAATAACAAAGTTGGACATATCATGCTACCTGATATTAAACTATATTTCAAGGTTGTAGTAATCAAAATGACATGGTACTGGCTTAAAAGTAGATTCATAGTTCAATGGAACTGAAGAGAAAGCCCCAAAGTAAACCTAAACTCTATGGTCAATTAATAAAGGAGGCAAGGATATCAAATGGGATAAAAGCAGTGTATTCAATAAATAGTGTTGGGAAAACTGGACAGAATTGTGCAAAAAGTGAAACTAGACCACCTTCTTAATCCATTTTGAGTTTATTCTCGTATATGGTTTAAAGACTTAAATGTAGACTCAGAATCATAAAAGTTTTTTTTAATGTTTTGTTTTTAATTGATTTTTAGAGGGAGGGGAAAAGAGAGTGATAAAAATATCAATGAGAGGAACATTATCGATCATCTGCCTCCTGTACACCCCCAACTGGATATCGAGCCTGCAACCTGGGCATGTGCCCTGACCAGGAATTGAACCATAACCTCTTGCTCTACCACTGAGCAACACTGTCTGGGCAAACTAAAAAGTTTTTGCATGGTAAAGGAAATAGTCAACAAAAGAAAAAGACAGCCTACTGAATGGGAGACTGTATTTGCCAATAATATATCTGATAAGTAGTTAATATGTAAAATTTATAAAGAACTCACAACACCAAAAATCAAACTTCCCAATTAAAATACGGGCAAAGGACCTAATAGACATTTATTCAAAGAAGTCATACAGATGACCAATAGAAAGATAAAAAGATGCTCTATGTCACTAATCATCAGAGAAATGCAAATTAAAACCACAATGAGATATTATGCTTGTTAGAATGACTATCATCAAGAAATCAGCAAACACCAAGAGTTGGGGATGATGTGGAGGAAATGGAATCCTTGTGCACTCTTGGTTGTATTGCAAATTGATGCAGCCACTTTGGAAAACAGTATGGAAATTCCTCAGAAAATTAAAACTAAATAAGGTGAAGCATGTGCAAGGGAATATTAGTCATCCATGAAAAAGAATGCAATCTCACTATTTGTGACAACATGGATGGACCTACAAAAGAAATTGTGCTAGCTCTAACTGGTTTGGCTCAGTGGATAGAGTATCAGCCTACGGACTCAAGGGTCCCAGGTTCGAATCCGGTCAAGGGCATGTACCTTGGTTGTGGGCACATACCCAGTAGGGAGTGTGCAGGAGGCAGCTGATTGATGTTTCTCTCTCATCAATGTTTCTAACTTTCTAGCCCTCTCCCTTCCTCTCTAAAAAATCAATAAAATATATTTTTTTATAAAAAGAAAGTAATGTATTAAATGGAATAAGTCAGACTGGGAAAGGCAAATAATCTATGATTTCATTTACATGTGGAATCTAAAGATCAAAATAAATGTTCAAGGAGTACAGAAATAGATATAAAGAACAAACTGATGGTTGCTAGATGTGAGGAGGTTTGGGGGGCTAGTTTAAGAATGTGAAAGGGCCGAAACCGGTTTGGCTCAGTGGTAGAGCGTCGGTCTGCGGACTGAAGGGTCCCGGGTTCGATTCCGGTCAAGGGCATGTACATTGGTTGCGGGCACATCCCTGGTGGGGGGTGTGCAGGAGGCAGCTGGTCAATGTTTCTCTCTCACAGACGTTTCTAGCTCTCTATCTCTCTCCCTTCCTCCTCTCTGTAAAATATCAATAAAAAATATATTTAAAAAAAAAAAAAAAAAAAGAATGTGAAAGGTTTAAGAATAAAAATTGGCAGTTACAAAATAGTCATGAGGATGTAAAGGACAGTATAGGGAATATAATCAATAATTTTGTAATTATGTGTGGTGTCAGGTACTAAAACATTGAGGGGATCATTTCATAAATTATATAAATGTCTAAACCTATGCTGTATGCCAGAACCAATATAAAATAATAGGGAATTTCAACCATAATTGAAAAAGATAAAATAAAGTTCTCAGACCTACTGAATGAGAAACTGTTGAGGTGGATTATATTTTATCAGCCTGCAGGTGCTCTTCATGCAGGCCAAGTGTGAGAATCATGGGTTATCACCATAGTCTTTCTTTTTTGTTTTTGAGAGAAAGAGAAAGAGAAGCATCAACACTGATTGGCTGCCTCTTGCATACCCCCTGCTGAGGATCAAGCCAGAAACCTGGGCATGTGCCCTACCAGGAATTGAACTGGGGCCTTCTGGTGCATCGATTGATGCTCAGCCACTGAGTGACACCAGCTGGGTAGGCTATTTCCTTTCATGTCATTCCTAAAAGCTGGGTTTCCTCATCTGCTCAGTGGTAGTACTTTGAAATTCTAACATGCTCCTCATTCTAAGAATATTCTCCAGTACAGGCATTACTAAGCAATTTTGAGCATTATATCCTTAAATTCCTTACATCTCTAAAAGGTAAGTACTCCTGCCGAAACCGGTTTGGCTCAGCGGATAGAGCGTCAGCCTGTAGACTAAAGGGTCCCAGGTTCCATTCCAGTCAAGGGCATGTACCTTGGTTGCGAGCACATCCCCAGTAGGGTGTGTGCAAGAGGCAGCTGATCGATTATTCTCTTTCATCGATATTTCTAACTCTCTGTTCCTCTCTCTTCCTCTCTGTAAAAAATCAATAAAATATATTTTTTTAAAAAATAAAAGGTAAGTACTCCTATTTGTAATCCTTTTGATAAGGAATTTGAGAGCCACAGATGTTCTGTAACTTGCCCAGATGCAGAACCAAACCTAAAACTCGGTAGTCTTAAATTCAGTCCAGCCCTAACAGGTTTGGCTCATTAGAGCATCAGTCTGCAGACTGAAGGGTCCCAGGTTCAATTCCAGTCAAGGGTATTTACTTTGGTTGTGGGCACATCCCCAGTAGGTGGTGTGCGGAGGCAGCTGATCAATGTTTCTCTCTCATTGATGTTTCTAACTCTCTATCCCTCTCCCTTCCTCTCTGTAAAAAATCAATAAAATATATTTTTTTTAAAAAATAAATAAAATATATTTTCAAAAAAATTCAGTCCAAACACATTTTCCTGTAATTCTGTTGAAGGATGTTTTCTAACATGCTTTTGCAATATATGAATTCAGTAACTAAAACCAGCTATTTTTTGTTTTAAACTTATCTTTTACCCTCCAAATATTTGAATTCATTTCAGAGAAGAAAGGAGAGGGAGAGAAATAAAAATATCAATGATGAGCTCTAACTGGTTTTGCTCAGTGAATAGAGTGTTGGCCTGCAGACTGAAGGGTCCTAGATTTGATTTCCATCAAGGACATATGCCCAGGTTGTGTGCTTGATCCCCAGAAGGGGTATGCAGGAGGCAGCCAATCAATGAGTCTAATCATTGATGTTTCTATCTCTCCCTCTCACTTTCTCTCTGAAATCAATAAAAATATATTTTTTAAAAATCTTTCCAGGAAGCAAAAAAAGGAAACATCAATGATGAGAGAGAATCACTGATCATCTACCAACTGCATACCCCCTACTGAGGACCCAGCCCCACAACCCTGGCATGTGCCTTGATGGGAAATCGAACCTTGTATTCTTGGTTCATAGGTCAATGCTTAACCATTGAGCCCCACCAGTTAGGCAACCTATGTTTTTATAGTATAAAGAAAAGACTATGTTGGGGTTTTTTTGTTTCTGAAGGCTAAATAATGTAAAGAAAGAAAATGACATAAATAGCCGAGACCCGTTTGGCTCAATGGATAGAGCGTCGGCTTGGGGACTGAAGGGTCCCGGGTTCAATTCCGGTAAGGGCATGTACCTTGGTTGTGGGCATATCCCCAGTAGGGAGTGTGCAAGAGGCAGCTGGCTGATGTCTCTCTCTCATCGATGTTTCTACAATAGCTTTCTATCCCTCTCTCTTCCTCTCTGTAAAAAATCAATAAAATATATTAAAAGAAAAAATGACAAAAATAAGTACAGTGAAGTTTATATCACTGATTCAGAGTATCAATTAAGCTATACAGTAGTTTCTACTCCTCACGATTAAAATAAAGCAAAGGTTGACCTAATGTGACTTGGAGTTGTAGTGTCTTAGTAGTTTTTGTGGGAAACTAGGCAAGTGATATAATGTCTTTGAGCCTCTGCCCTTTCACCTATAGAATAGAGATAATGATAATACAACTCTCACAGGGTGGTTTTGGATTAATAAGATTATGTTTGTACAGATCTTATCTTAGAGCTGGACACATAGTAGGTCTTTCATAATATTTGGCCTATTGCCATTAATATTACTGGATTTTTTAAAAAAAATCTTCATGCCTTTTTCCTTCTCACACAACCCAGTCAACATGGTGTTCAACTGCTTCATGGAGGTTGTCTGGGTGGCCTACCTTTCCTTTGGGCCTCTTGACCCGAAGCTGCTCGAGATTATAGATATCCATCAGAACAGGGCTTTGGTTAATGGAACTTTCACTCAAGTAAGGAGACAAGCCATGACTTTCAAATGCATGCGGCTTACTGTCTTCATCCCAAGTTCTCATATAGTGCCCGCCAGAAGTTTGCTTAACAAGCCTAGCAGCCACAAGATGAGCCAATAAGATTGAAGCCAGAGAAAAGCAAGCCAATGACAGATTTTGATCATTACATGGTCATGACAGTAAAGAAAATGAGGAACTGAATAATCAAGCTTGAAGTCAGGAACCTTTAAAAGGCAGTTCTGCCCTGGCTAGTGTCGATCATGCATCGAAGGGTCACAGGTTGATTCCTGGTCAAAGGCATGTATCTGGGTTGTAGGTTCAATCCCTAGCTCTAATTGAGCACATGTGGGAGGCAATCAATGGATGTGTCTTTTTCACATGTATGCTTCTCTCCTCCCTCCCCCATCTTCCTTACCCTCTCTAAAAATCAATGGAGAAACTATCCTCTAGAGAGGATTTGGAGGGTGGGAGGGAGATCTCCTGAAAGTTCCCTGCAGTTAAAGGTGGAGTTACAACTGCTTCTGCAAAGGTTCCAGCAAAAATGGTGGCCACTGGCCCTGGCCATTGTGGCTCAGGTGGTTGGATGTCGTGACATGCCCAGAAAGGTCACCAGTTCTATTCCCAGTCAGGGCACATAACCCAGGTTTTGGACTTCTCCCTTGTGGGGAGAGAAGGCGGAATGCAGGAGGCAACCAGTTGATGTTGTGCTCTCACATCAATGTTTCTTACCCTTTCTCTCTTTCTCTCTCCCTCTCTCTCTCTCTCTCTCTCTCTCTCTCTCTCTCTCTCTCTCTCTCTCTCTCTCTCTCTCAAAATCAATAAACTATTCTTTAAAAAAAAAGGTGACCCCTGCAGGTAAGATGGCTCCAGTCCAGAGGGTGTCTGCCTAGAAAGCTATAGGCCAGAAGGCAGCACCTTGAAAAGCACAAGGGTCTGAAAGCTCCAGCCCTGAAAGCACCTGCTACAAAGGCTTCTAGCAAGGAAGTGTGAGAACATAAGAGGCTGTTATAAAAGTAATAGAGGTTATTTTTGACACGTTGGCAAATCGAAAGAAAAAAATCTTCAAAGATTTTAAAATACTTTCCTGATCTGATGGCAGTGTTTTAAGGAAATTAGAGTAGTGATAGAAAGACTTAGGTCTTCATAAATCAGGTGGCTATTTAGAATATGGCTTTTTGCTTCTAGTAGAGTTTGAAATGAGCTGTATTTTATCTTTGTCTTTTCTTTGTGGCAGACTGATTTCCGATTCTACTGGATGCATTCAAAGTTACCAGAAGAAGAAGGACTGGGAGAGAACACCAAGCTCAATCCTGTGAGGCCTGGGATTTGGGTTGTAGAGCTCTTTATATGGATTGGTTTGGAATGATCTGTTATTTACATAACCATTATGAATGAAATTCTTTAATATTGAGAGAGAACAGCATAACAGGAAGATTATAGGCTTAACAGTCATCCAGATCTGAATTCCAGTTTTGGCTTTAATAATTATTAGGCTAAGCTAAAAACATCACTTGGCCTTAGTTTCTTCATCTGTAAAATAAGGTGAATAATATCTATTTTACAGGGTGGTTCTAAGAACTAAGTTAGAAAAATATGTATGTCCTCCTAGCATAGTACTTATGGTAGGCTCTCAATAAATAGTGGTTGGGCTTCTTTAAGAGTTCCCCAAATGATTCTCCTTATAGAGCAAGGTTGAGAACCATTGACCTATTAATTCAGCATCTATTTGGAGGGGAAATAGCTGGGAAGGAAGAGACCAAAAGCTTCTTTGATATAGCTTTCCAGTTGCTGGAAGAGTATTATTTGTAATATGTACTAATTCTTTGTTTCAATTTATATTTTAGTTTAAATTTGTGGGGCTAAAGAATTTTCCTTGTACCCCTGAGAGCCTGTGTAAGGTGCTGTCTATGGATTTCCCTTTTGAGGTAAAAAAGTCATTGTCTTTATTGTTCTAATGTGATTTCAGGACACAAGAAAACTTGATTACACATATATTTTGACTTTGCTATGTTAAAGTATCAGAAAAGGGCTGAGCCCTGGCTGGTATGGCTCAGAAGATTGGTCGGAATGTCATACTGGGCACCACAAAATTGTAGATTCGATTCCTTGTCAGGGTGCATGCTGGAGACAACCTTTCGATGATTCTCTCTTTCTCTCTATCCCCTTCTCCTTTTCTCTCTAAAATCATTTGTAAGAAAGAGAAAAGAACTGAAAGCTGATTTCTAGAAAGAGACATACTCACTGCCCTTCAGAGCCTCAGCTCTACCCTTCTCCGTAAATCAGAATGCCAGAGTTAGAAGGGCCCTTAAAGGACACCTCATCTAACGCTCTCGTTTTACAGATAAACTGAGGCCCAGATCATGGTGAGGCTTTCATTCCTAGATCGTTCCTTGTTTGCCCCTTCCTGTTGTAAGCTTGAGAACCAGGTCCTTTGTGTAACTGCCATGGCTGGTTGTAAAGTCAAGGGGCTTCTTTGACTGATGGACCACAGGGATGTAAACTTCTAAATCTTCCTTCCTAGGAAGAGCAAATGATCCTGGGTATGTCAGTGCTTGCTCAGCAGTGACATGGGGCAGGTGATCAACTCATCCCAGTTTATGTCCTGGACTTTCCCGGTTTTAGTGTTGAAAGTCTCTCATTGTCAGCAGCAGCTCTTCAGTCTTGGAGCAGTCTTCTGTCATCCTTAGAACCTGAAGTTATCCTCTCCAGTCTCAATAAGCAAACTTTCCTTTTTCCAACAAACCCTTTAAAATTCTGCCTAGTCACCTTTAAGTCTTTACTTGAACTGGATATGTTTTGCAGAAAGGATCACAGCTTCGGGTGGTTGCCTTCATTTCTGGGAGTCAATTAAGAAGGTGGTAAGGTCGAAACCGGTTTAGCTCAGTGGTAGAGCGTCGGTCTGCGGACTGAAGGGTCCCGGGTTCGATTCCAGTCAGGGGCATGTACGTTGGTTGCGGGCACACCCCCAGTGGGGGGGGTGCAAGAGGCAGCTGGTCGATGTTTCTCTCTCATCGACGTTTCTGGTTCTCTATCTCTCTCCCTTCCTCTCTATAAAAAAAAAATCAATAAAAAAAAAAAAAAAGAAGAAGGTGGTAAGAACACCATCTTTATTTTTATTTATCTATTTTTGTTAATCCTCACATGAGGATATTTTTTTTTTCTCATTACTTTTAAGAGAAAGAGAATGAGCCGAAACCGGTTTGGCTCAACGGTAGAGCATCGGTCTGCGGACTGAAAGGTCCCTAATTCAATTCCTTGGTTGCAGGCACATCCCCGGTAGGGGGTGTGCAAGAGGCAGCTGGTTGAAGTTTCTCTCTCATCGACGTTTCTAGCTCTCTATCTTTCTCCCTTCCTCTCTGTAAAAAATCAATAAAATATATTTAAGAGAGAGAGAGAGAGAGAGAGAATGGGAGGGAGGGGGGGAGAGAGAGAGAGAGAGAAAGAAAATGGGAGGGAGGGGGAGAGAGAGAGAGAAACATTGATGTGACACAAACACATGGACTGGTTGCATACCACACTCGCCCTGAGGAGTGAACTCACACCCAAGGTATGTCAATCAAACCTGAGACCCTTCAGTGTTCAGACTGATGCTCCAACTACTGTGTCTCACTAACCAGGGTGACTGCCATCTTTATTTTTACTTATAGCCCTTATACTATAATAAAGTTACAGTAAATGCTTTTTTTTTCTTTATTGATTAAGGTATTACATATGTCTTCTTATCCCCCTCATTGCACCCCCAATCTCCCAGCCCCTACTCCTGCTTTCACCATCCTGGTGTCTGTGTTCATTGGTTAGGCTTATATGCATGCATACAAGTTCTTTGGTTTATCCAGTAAATGTTTTTTAGAGATGAGTTGCTGATTCCCAGAAAATAAAATTTGGGACTGTAGGAAATCTTTTTATATATATATATTATTGATTTTTACAGAGAGGAAGGGGGAGAGAAATAGAGAATTAGAAACATCGATGAGAAACATCGATCAGCTGCCTCCTGCACACCCCCGCAACCAAGGTACATGCCCTTGTCCTGAATCGAACCTGGAACCCTTCAGTCCACAGGCCGACGTTCTATCTACTGAGCCAAACTGGCTAGGGCTGTAGGAATTCTTTCCATTAAGAAAAACTGAGTTTCCTAGAACATAGCTTGCAAGAGTTAGGGAGCCAGCAATGGCTTGGGGAGTATGGCTTCTTTTTGTTTTTAATTTATTTTTATTGATTTCAGAAGAAGGAGAAAGGCTGAGATATTGATAGAAATATCAGTGGTGAGAGAGAATCATTGATTGGCTGCCTCCTGCACATTCCCAACTGGGGATCAGTACTTCAAGGCATGTTCTCTGACTAAGAATTAAACCATGACTTTCTGGTTTATAGGTAAATGCTCAACCACTGACCACACAGGTTTCCTCTGTGCTCAGCAGTCCAGCATCTCATATGGGCCTACCCAGTTCCCCTGCTTTGTTCCGTTTGCAGAACACATAACCCACTATGAGATCTCTGAGTGGTAGGAATGCATGGGATTTGGGAAGAGGACTTGGGTTCAAGTTGAATTTCTACTTCATACTAACTGTGTTATTACAGAAGCCCCCAGAACTTTGAGCCAGCCCCATCTCGAAAATACCCTCATGGTAGATGAAAGGGTTTTCTTTTCTTTCTTTTTTCAAAATAATATTTTTATTGATTTTTACAGAGAGGAAGGGAGAGGGATAAAAACATCAATCAGCTGCCTCCTGCATACTCTCTACTGGGGAAGTACTGGCAACCAAGGTACATGCCCTTGACCGGAATTGAACCTGGAACCCTTGAGTCCGCAGGCCAACGATCTATCCACTGAGCCAAACCAGTCAGGGCATATATTTTTTTATTTTCTAAAATTTCGTTTTCTAGGCTGTTTCTTCATTTAGAGAAATTGCATGTGTGAGAAACGAGAACTCTTTCCTCTGGCAGTGATTCAGAAAAAGGATTTGAACCATTAGAGCTGCCCCATGAGTATAGGCTCCTCAAAACATGTGGCCTCAGAAGTCATTTTGATCCTTGATCTCTTATAGGTGGATGGACTTCTCTTCTACCACAAGCAGACCCACTATAGCCCTGGAAGCACTCCTCTAGTGGGCTGGCTACGCCCATACATGGTATCAGATATTCTTGGTGTGGCTGTGCCAGCTGGGTGCCCACTGACCACCAAGCCAGAGTATGCCGGGCACCAGCTCCAGCAGATTATTGAGCATAAGAGGAGCCAGAAGGAGGGCATGAAAGAGAAACCCACACAGAAGGCCTTTAACAGTGGGCACTATGAGCTTGAGCATCTGTCTACCCCTGAGCTGAAGAGTGATCCCCACAGCTTGGACCAGCTTGCGAGTCACATGGAAAACTAACGAGAGCAGCCTCCTTTGGGTGTAGCGGGAAGGTGCTTGGTTTCAGAACAGAGGTTGGGGAGAGGGACAGTGACGACAATAGGTGACTTCATTTTAGAGTGGACTTTCCAGAGACACTCCAGCTGTAAACAGATTAACTCCTGTAAAAAGTGTATCCCAGATCCACAATGTAAATATATGTGATTCTTAAAAAAAGAACTTGTGATTTTTTTTTTTTAAGGGCCTTTTAATTAATAGGTGTACAGGTCTAGCTTTCCCCAGGTACCCATGTGAATGTATTATTCAGCAAGATTGCTTTTATGGTTAAAAAGTCAGGAACTTGTGATTCTTAAACCTTAGACAAACTTGAAACTCTCCCAGCAGCCCCCCTCTTGTCCCTGTCCGCCCCCCCTGAGCCCCAGTCTACCTACACCATGACTGTTCAAATCTTGGCCTATTTTACTCTGGTCTTAGTACTTAAGCATTCTGCTGAGTTTCTAGTTGCTACTGTCCTGACGTCATTTTCTAAAAAGTCTTAACCAGGAACTGCAGTTCTTAGTATTTGAATATCTTCCCTCTTCTGAGAAGACAAATGTGATTTTCTTCGGTTCGGAACATTGCCAGAAATAAAATGAAAGTGGTGATCATTCAGTACTTCAACAAACATTTGAAACATTACCTTCCAGAAGATAAGCCTTTTGCTAGGCCTCTGTGATGTAGGTTAAGGAAACAGAAAGGCCCTTAGAGCCTCAGGGCTGGAAGAGCAGGGGGATGTTTCACTGAGGCTCGGAGGAGAGCCAGAAATGTGCTCTGCAGATAGAAGGTCAGGAGTTCCTCACAGAGGCAGGAGGGCAGGACTTGGTGGGGACTGAAATCTGTTCAGCATGGCTGAAGCATAAGGTAGGATTGGAGGGTTATAGAGGAGGAAGAGAGAGAGAGAGATGGGCCTGATTGTGTTATGCAGAGATTTTGATTTTATGTCATGAATGTAAAGGAGCCAATAAAGAGCTTTGAGCAGGCAGGATCCATTCAGATTTGTGAATTAGAGCTCTTAGGCAGCTGTGGGGATGGAAGGAAGATGGTATCTGTTCTGTGTTCAGGAAATGTCTCTCATTTTCCATGTCTGTAATCTGGTTCCACCTTTCTAGGACTTACCTTATTGAACAGAAGAATTCACTATTCCACTTAAGCAACACCAGCATCCTGGGGAGAAAATTTCAGAGGGATACAGGTCAGATGAGTGACCAGGTCAGATGCAGTTGTTCCTTTGTATTGATTAATTTGTAAGATATTGCTAAGTTGTGCTAGACCAATGCAAAGCACAACTTAGCAATATCTCCCAAGACTCCTTTTGACCTGGTCATTCTACTTCTAGGTTTGCATCTTAGAAATGTCCTTGCACACAGGCAAAATGATGTAGGTGAATAGTAGGTTATTCACCACAGCATTATCTATAAGCAAAAAACTGGAAACAATTTAAATGTTTATAAACAGATGATTGGTTAAGTAAATTATTATCCATACATACAGTGGAAACTATTCAGCCATAAGTGGAATGAGGAAGCCTCTTATGTGTACATAAAAATGACCTCAAGAGTAGTTAATTAGAAAAGGAAGATGGCAAATCTGAACCGATAACTACATTTATGCAAAGGAAAGGGGAGCGTACATATATATGCATGTGATTCTAGCAGATGGAACAAGGGAAGACCTGTGACTCGTAACAAGGAAAATAGCTTTGTATTTACCCCCGATGCCTGTGTAGACACTTCCTGTGGGTTGGGTCTTCTTGTCCCTTTGTTAAAACCTGGAGCAGGTCCCATCACTCTACTGGACAAGCTCACATTAAAAAAAACAAAAAACTTTCTAATCACTGTAAGTTATGAAATAACTTCAGTACTCTGTCAGCTAAGAGGAACAACTAAAGACTATTCAAAGATTTTTGCTCCCTGTGCCTAGGCCTGCTCCACATGTAAAAAGACATCTTTGCGTCCCTTTCCCTCCCTCTCTTTTTTCTCCCTTCATTGACCTCTGTTCCATTTATCTCTATTGAGCACCTCCTGTTCTAGTCCTGGGGATATAGCAGTGACCGATCAGGCCTGGGTTGTGGGCGCCATCCCTAGTAGGGGTGTGCAGGAGGCAGCCAATCAATGATTCTCATCATTGATGTTTCTATTGCTCTATCTTCCTCTCTGAAATCAATGAAAATGCATTTTAAAAAATATAAAATTAAGTCTAGTATAAAGCAGGTATTCCAAAAATGGAAGCTGAATCCAAGTAACCTTCTAAGTTTTAAATTTTTATTCACTACTAGCTGTACCCGGCCACATGTTGCTGTGGCTCAGTCTGGTTAAATGGAAAAGGAAGAAAAGAGAAAGTGCACTTTCTACTAAATTTAATTTCACAATGCTTGTGGGTATACAATATTGTCTGTTGTTCCATTGTCTGTGCAGATATAGAGATTGGTTTGCTGACTCTAGAACAGCAACATATAATTGTCCATGTGAGTCTACATCTAAACCGCACAATTCTAAAGATTGGCCCTGAACTTTGTTGATGATATTGCAAACACCAATCGAATGGGGAACTGCAATCTCTTAAATTGAAATGGCATATCCATTGGAATCATAGGAATTTGAGGAATGAGGACATCTTCACCTTTGAAAGGTCCTGTCAAGATTGTTGTTTCTACAAGTTGCTCATTAATTTTTGTACTACAAGCCACGTGCTGTTTCAAAGCATTGGCTGGTTGATATTTCACAACATGATAATTGGCACGCCGATTTTAATTGCAGTACGTGCGGTGGCATCCCTGGCAGATCGAGTGAATTCAAAAATTCTGTTGGGCCGAAACCGGTTTCGCTCAGTGGATAGAGCATCGGCTTGGGGACTGAAGGGTCCCGGGTTCGATTCCGATCAAGGGTATGACCTTGGTTGCGGGATATCCCCAGTAGGGGGTGTGCAAGAGACAGCTAATCGATGACTCTCTCTCATCGATGTTTGTTTCTTTTTCTTTTTTTAATATATATTTTATTGATTTTGTACAGAGACGAAGGGAGAGGGAGAGAGAGTTAGAAACATCGGTGAGAGAGAGTCATCGATCAGCTGCTGCTTGCACACCCCCCACCGGGGATGTGCCCACAACCAAGGTACATGCCCTTGACCGGAATCAAACCTGTGACTATTCAGTCTATCCATTGAGCCAAACCGGTTTTGGCTCATTGATGTTTCTAACTTGCTATCTCTCTCCCTTCCTCTCTGTACAAAATCAATAAAATATATTAAAAAAAAAATTCTGTTGGATAATTAACCGCTTCATCTGCTTCCACAACATTGTCGACGGACTTGTATGTGACTGCCTCGCTTTGAATGTTAGACTGAATAATATTGTGAAGTTCTTAGACGTCTTTGTTTTTGGCCGCAAGAATAGCTCGTTCACTCAGCCAATCGTGAGTCTTATAATTGGTTTGAATATTGGGAAATACTTTTTCAACCAAATTTTTAAAAAAATATATTTTATTGATTTTTTACAGAGAGGAAGAGAGAGGGATAGAGAGTTAGAAACATCAATGAGAGAGAAACATCAATCTGCTGCCTCTTGCACCCCCCCCACTAGGGATGTGCCTGCAACCAGGCACATGTCCTTGACTGGAATCGAACCGGGCCGACTCTCTATCCACTGAGCCAAACCAGTTTCGGCCAATTTTTCTTTTGACATCACTAAATTGCAGAAGCTATGAGGCAATGAAATTCATCCTGAGGTCAGATCAACCAGCACCTTTCTGTTCCCAATTTCCAGCAATTGATGTGAAAAAATCTCAGCTGATCGATCATTTTGCAGCTGGACATGCATATTTGTAGTTAATTTTAATGTCTTTACGTGTCGCCACAAAGTAGAGTATTTCAGGCAAACATTTATTTCGTCCACTGGTTTCGATCAAGGAATTACAGGTAATGTTTGCCTGAAATCTGCAAGCAATATTAATGCGTTCCCAAATGATCTGATGTTTCCACACAAATCTCGCAATGATCGATCAAGAGCCTCAGCGATTTTTTGTGTAGCATTGTGCATTCATCCTAAAATAAGTTTGCATTTTTGCAATACTTTTGCCATTTGGACATGTTGCACGTGGGTGTTTCAGTGAATTGCATGTTCAGTGGCAATTTCAAAGCGGAATGAGCAGTTCTTCCACCTGGTAGCAATGTCGCAGCTATTCCGGACGACGCAAGAGCTAAGGCTCTGTCATTGTGGGATCGAATTGCTGCCACAATCAGGAATGTTTTGCCAGTTCCTCCTGGCGCATCTAAGAAGAAGATTTCTCCAACCACATTATTGATAGTTTGCATAATTTGATGGTAAATGCCTTTTTAATCAAGTGTTCGGTTAGGAATATTTGATTGCATATATGATAAAAGATCACCCATGTTGTAATTTTGTTCATGACACAATTCTACATCTAACAAAGCAGCAGCAGATTGATTCGGTGATAGCATTCCCAATTGATTGAGAATTTTATTCGTGATTTCTAAGCACAAATCTTCAATCATTATCAACATTGAAATGGAATCGTAAAATTGGAATTTGGAAATTGTAAATGGATCATAAATCGGAAACATTAAAATGGAATTGTAAAATTGAAATTTGGAAATTGTAAATGGATCATAAATCAGAAACATTGAAATGGAATCGTAAAATATTTAGTATAGCATGTGTTGTTTTTACTTCCAACAATGGCGCTGTTTTTCAAAAACGTTTTTACCTGTCACAGGTATGACATCTATATAATACCGTGTTTCCCCGAAAATAAGACATCCTCCGAAAATAAGACCTACTTACAGGTTTCTTTCTGAGTGAAATATAAGTCATCCCCTGGAAAATAAGGCCTATCTCCAGACTCTTGATATTGCAATAAACAAGCCATTCAAAGACAGTTTGCTCATGGAAATTAATGACTACATTGAAAATAGAATGGAGAGAAATCAGCGTGGAATCTTTGTGAAACCTAAACTTCAAGAAGTTGTGACTTGGTTGAAGAATTCATGGGAGAAAATCACTGACAGTTGCATTGCAAATGCACTGCGAGCAGGCTACCTTGACAAGAAGTACTCATTTAAAGACAGTGCTATTGCTAAACATGAGAGATTTGGTCCACTGATTCTGAAAGAAATGGAGTCACAAGAAATTCACCAGGAAATTCAGGAATTGGATTGTTATGATGATGTTCCAGAAGATGATGACATGATTGTCATTGAATAAATGAGTAACTTCTTGATACTGTAGGATTCACAGTTTGTCTGGTTTGTGTTGACAACTTTACTGTACTACCGTACCGTATACAGGTAATAAATTTCCTTTATTTTCATTTAACAATAAATGTGTACCAGATTCTTCTTCATGGAAAAATAAGACATCCCCTGAAAATAAGACCTAGCTCATCTTTGGGAGCAAAAATTAATATAAGACACTGTCTTATTTTTGGGGAAACAGGGTAGTAGGTATAAGGTATATAAAAACACGCGTGTATTCGAATGCAACGTTGTGTCAAAATTTCAAAGCATTCGGAGATTTAAGATTTTGAACAAACGAACATTTACATTTTTATTTATATAGATTTGGGGAACAGGACTTGTGGTTGAGTGGAATCTGATGACAAAATTCAGTACACTAGTGGACCTGGCCTTCCTGCTGGGCTCCTAGAGAGCAATTCAAGCTGACTCATCTAACCAGAGAAGAAGCTTCCTCCCTCACACCCAATGATGTTCCTACTAGCTGAAGATTTTAGCATGCTTATAGCAATAAGCTCTTTCATGAATTCCATTGGGGTCAATTCTGCAATAGGAACCTGATGTTTCTCATGTCAGGAAGCATATTATTAGCTGCCTACTTGTTTCATCTCTGATCACCTTCTGAATGCTGTATTCTTTATTCAGCAGCCAGCTGTGCCATTTCAGGAGCAGTGCATGATAGCATCAGTGAGACTTGGCTGGACTATGCCCAGAAATAATCAGATCTAGAAGGAC